ATTTCTATGGGAAATTTGGATTCAACTTGCAAACTTTTCAACTAGTTCTGGGCATCTAATAGAGAATGTACAGTATTTCCTAAGGGTGTTGCAGCAAGGAAACTAACTGTGCCTCGTGACTTCTAACTGGATTACAGTACCTGCTTCCTTATTTCAGCTACTATAGTTTGTATTCAGTTTTTTTGGCTCATCAAGAACATTCTTCCTGGCTTTGTGTGGCCTAACCTGTTGTGCCTTGCATGCTATAAACGTTCAATTATGTCAGAAAATGGAGATTCGGTCTTATGCTGAGCATGTGCTACTGCTGGTGAATGGGATCAGGTTAAGCTTTGTGTTGCTGTTCTTTTGCATAACCGAAAGTAAATAAGGAAAACCAGCTGTTAAATAGTTTAATTCCACTATTTATCCTCCACACAACTAAAAGGGACCTCTCAATGCAGTGCCAAATCAGACAAACCATTTTTAACTTAATATAGGCTTGAGCTGTAGCTGGGCAGACTTGCACAACAATCTCATCTGTCATTCAGACATTTCTATAAGCATGGGGAGGAGGTGGATGAAAGGAAATGTAAAATATAGGTAGAGTGGTATAGGTCTTATCACTAGCTGATAATGGTCTATATTAATGCCACTGTTGACTGCTGTTCAATTTACATGGTTCAAATGTTATTCTGTTAGTTTATTAAATAGTTTATTACACTATTTGGTTCAGAATATATTTTCCCTGTGTTCCTCCTCTAAAAATTAAGTGCGTCTTAAGGTCTGGTGCGTCTTATGGAGCAAAAATACGGTAATTGTAAAGATATATAAGCATCTTCAGTGCTATGCAAAAACAGATCAATTTGATACTGGATTCAAAAATGTGCAATGATTATACTATACACACACATTTTACTTTGCAAGCGTTGGATGGATCAAGTAAGAGAAATAAGCTTTCTGCATCTTATTAATTTATCAAAATAATGTTTATTTTCCCCACAAGAATCAGTGCCCATTGTGGAGGATCCAGATTCCTGGGTCTTGCAGCATCCAAATAAAGCTTTTGATTTACACCACTTCTGTGAATTTTGGAAATGAAGCAGATCTTTCCATAATTACTGAAGTACAAACCACTAAAGAATTACTGGTATGTTTCAAGAAGTGGAACAATTGTAACAGTTTAAGAAATTGATGTTTTAGTGCACTTTTGTCATTTTTAGCCAACATGCTACATTACTGTCTGTGCACAAAGTGAACACTGGAGATTTTTACTGTAAAATAAAGCTGTTGCAATAAGAAACACACTGTGTTGAAGTGCCCTTTTCTCCCTTAGACCTGCACAGGTTTAAGACAAAAACTTTGCCAAATGTTACATAATTTTTTTATTATTAAATGAGAAAACCTCATTCATTCTCTTACATTGCCACGTTGCTAGTCAGAGAAATCCTGCACTGATGAATAAAGTCAATGTTGGGGCAGAGTCCTCATTTTCTACAACATCCATTTACAGGGAAATTAACAGTCATGTTCAAAAACAGTTCATCAGCACAACATTCTTAAATTCTTCATGAGGAGTCCCAAAGAACCTTCCTCTAGTGGGTAATATCACTGTGTAAAAATTACAGTTCTCCACCTCTTCTGAAAGATTCCTTCTGACATTGCACAAGGTACCAAGCAGAAATCTTCAAAGACTCAAGCAACTTTCACACCGCATCATCATCTGATGTGTCACTGCTGCTCGTCTCTGTGTCTTCATTCTCAAGCGATGGTTTAAAAGTGCTGTTTTTCCAGGGGCTGAATTTGAAGTCACAGGTGAGGCCGTTTTTTAGAATACCATTTTTTCTAAGGCCATTTTTTTGTAGCTGTAATTTAAAAAGCAAATTAGACTCAGCAGTTTCAACACAGCACAACCAAAAACATTTAGTTTTACATAAACAATCAGGCTGCGAATTTTCTATCTCTGAACAGCAGAACCTGGAGGGTGGGTTTGGAGGGTGGGTTTGGACTAGCGGGGTTATGTTTCTGTGCTGTATTGTTTTTTGTTTTTGTTTTTGTTTGTTGGATTTTTTTTGTTTTTGTTTTTATTTTTTGTTTTATTTTGTGATCACAAAATGATGGTCTGAATAGGGGTTTTTCGCTTTGCGATGATCGGTTCCCTGCTTTGCCGTCCAGCGAAGATTCTCCAGCCCATTGGAACACACTGAAGGGTTTTCAATGCGTTTCAATGGGCTTTTTATTTTCGCATTACGTTTTCGTTCTACAGCAATTTCGCTGGAACAAATTAACGTCGTAATGCAAGGCACCACTGTATTTCAATATTCATTTTATAGCCAGAATCCAATGGCTTTAAAACTTCATTATGTCTACCGAAAGATAGATGCTCTGAAATCTCAACAAATCCAGTACATCAAAAATAATGATGCATAGTGAACTCATCTAAAATGTATTATACATTTCAAACTAATTATTTATTTATTTATTTATTTACAATATTTTTCAGCCGCACCATTGCCAGTGGCTTCCATATTATTCCATATTTCATTATTCCATATTTCATTATTTTATGTAGACAGAATAAGAGAGAGAACATTTTTAGTCATACATCCCAGATACTACAAAATAGAGATGGGAAACCTTCTGCCTTCTATATATTTTGGGTTACAGCTCTCACCATTCTTTCCCACTGGTCATGTCCTCAATATCAAACTGTCATGGTCCTGAGAACATTACAAGGACTAGGCTAAGCAGGTTCTTTTTCAAGGACCTGTTCTATGTCTCTCCAGAAAACATTTAATCTGCCAGCGTACTTGATCCATGGTCAACTGAGCCTTCTCTAACATGGGGGTAGATTATTCAAAAAAGAGGCGACATGAAAACTTGGCAGCAACTGATATAAGAACAAGACTTCACTTGATTTGTTTCCTTGCCTGTACCAGTGAGACTCAGATTTGTCATGGTCCTTATCTTGCACTAAGAGCCTTGTGGCACAGTGGTTAAACTGCTGTACTGTAGCCAAAACTGTGTTCACAACCTAGGGTTCTATCCCAGGTAGACTGAATCAGCCTTCTCTCCTTCAGAGGTCGGTAAAATAAGTAATCAGTTTGGGGGGGCACAATGTTTAGCTTGCATAATTAACTTGTAAACTGCTGAGTAATCAGTTTGGGGGGGCACAACGTTTAGCCTGCATAATTAACTTGTAAACTGCTCAGAGGGTGCTTTTGAGTGTTATGGGGCAGTATATAAGCAGCATGCTTTGCTTTAAAAAATATATTTTGAAAAAAGTACTGAAGAGCCAGTTGGAGGTGCCAGCTCTACAGGTGGATCTGACTAGGATACCATCATTGAATCCAACTAGGTACTGTCAGAGGAGTCAATACAGAGATTGATGTGAAATAGCATGCACAGTTCTGCTGGAGGTGGGGCCTGAATTCCCACAAACAAACAAATAGATGGTGCACTATTGGTTGAGCAACAGAAAGAATTCTACAAACTACCAGTGCTGGATTAGCTGGTCTCATTTTGACACACATGCCTGGTGCCAGATATGGGTGGACATACATGAACACAAAATGTTCCTTTTCTAGTTTGCTCGGATGACTATTCCACCTGCAACACAAAAACAAACCTTATGGGAGAAAACTATGTCTCTCACCTGTTCACTAATGACCTGAAATTCCCTCATTTCATCCTCAGTTAGTGGAGCACATGTTTCATCATTTTCACTATCTTCCTGCCAACCCATCTCCTTTAACAATCTGTTTAAGAGAGAAAGAGAAAAACTGGTTGAACACTCCTTTCCCAATACATATCTCAGAAGCAATGGATGAACACCCCCACCCCAAGCACAGTCTACTAGCCCTAAAGATGGTTGTTTCCGTCAGTTACTTGCCAGCTCTTTCTGTATCACCCCTCCCCAATCTTCTTAAGACTGGCTGGAGAAACCTGAGATGTGATAACATGAATGAAAATGTGTTCACTTTCTGGATTCTTTTTAATCTTGTTTGTTTTCTTCCCAGGTAAAGCAAGGGATATAGCACAACATTCAGAAGAAACAACCTCCAGGATCATACCTAATTAGCTCTGCACAAGGATGGACTGGAGGATGAAAGGATGTGGCTAGTTATTCAGTTGCATACTGAGTAGCCAATCAATAAAGTTTCTGCTGACTTAACAAACCTACCTCAAATGGCTAGTCCCAGCTACAGCAGACCTACTGAATCAAAGGCTGCTTGATATCAATATTTATAGAAATCATAATGATTTAATAGTCTTGTCTAATTGGGCTTAACATCTCCATTTAGGTATGTATACAGCAGGACCCCCATATCCGTGGGGGATTGGTTCCAAGCCCCCCCCCTCGGCAGATGCTGAAAAACACAAATTATAAACATCTCCCTCCCAAAACTAGACAGCCTCCCTGCCCTCACCAACTATCCCAAAGGCACAGGGACGAAGCACTCCCACCCACCCTCCAATCCACACAAACTTGACAGTTACCCAAAGGGAGCGCAGGATGTGGAAACTACCACCACTGCCTTGAGAGGACCACTTACCTGCATGCTGAGCTGTTTGCCAACGTGCTCTCATGCCTCAATGCAAAGCAAAATGGCTGGAGAAGCCCCCATCCCACTTCCCACCTAGATTGCCCTGAGGGTTTGTTTTTTTGTCTCCAAGTAAACCGGCAGGCAGGAGGAGCCTCTGCCACCATCTCCCAGGAGAAAGTTTGGAAGAGGAAAAGGCCTTAAGCAGCCAGAGACCATATTCTTCACAGGACAGTCTCTCTGGCTCCCTCTAGTGGCTTGTTCTAGTAAACCATGTGATTTCCCCCCCTTGCATTTTTACTTTTAATACATTTTATATTTAATATTGGCAGACCATAGAGAAGTGAATGAGTAGATACTGATATCTCAGACAAGGGGGTCCTGTGTAGGCATCCTTCAGTCTCAAGAGACTATGGTAATGTGCTCTGAATAGAGGTCTTGGAACACTGTCTGGTGTGGCTAAGAAGGCCAATTTGAGAGTGACAATCCCTTCCACACTGAAGACAAATACAATCTGTCTCCTGTCCAAAATCTCCCTGATTTTGCTGGTTTCGGAACTGCCTCTTTGCCTCGGCCTCCTGAACAAGTGTCTCTTCAAATTGGGAGAGGCCATGATGCACCGCCTGCCTCCAGGCTGTACGCTCAGATGTCAAAATTTCCCATCTGTTGAGGTCCATTCCTAAGGTTTTCAAAATCCACTTGCAGATATCCTTGTATCGCAGCTGTGGTCTCCCTCTGCAGCGCTTTCCTTGCACTAATTCTCCATATAGGAGATCTTTTGGAATCCGATCATCAGCCATTCTCATGACATGCCCAAGCCAACGTAGGTGTCGCTATTTCAGTAATATATATACATGCTAAAAATTCAAAGGGGGTCCTACTGTACACACATATCTAAGACTACCAGACAAAACAACAACATAACTGCAAAAGATTTTTAAAAAATGTGGCAACCTAAAGACTAGCCACTATATTTTTATGGAAGCTTTTATACATCATGTTCACAAAAAATAAATTAAAATATAGCAATTATTCTTTAAGATGTCACAACAATTAATACATGGTGGCTCTAACCACTATCTGGTTATGGTTGACAAGGTTTTCACCTCACCTCTTCAAAAAAATTAATGATGTAGACTATGCTCACCACCCACACTTGTGGCAAAGTTTCTTTTGCAGCTGTTATTCACTGATGCCACCATTCTTTCAGTCTTTCCACTCTCTAAAAGCTTCAAGATTCTATTTCTGCCATGTACTTAAGCAGACAAAGTACAGTGGCCAGTGCTGAATAAAAATCTGCTTTCTTCCTAAATCTCACTGACAGGAAGTCATTAGTGGAATACTGATCCTGAGATAGATTTCCCAAGGAAAACTCCGAGCAGCATACCAGCTGTTCAAGGTGGGGAACAGATCTGTGAGTTAACAACTTAGAATGTACAGGACTTCCTTTTAGAGAAAGGCTTATATAGCAAGTCAATCTCAAATGCAACTCGATGTGGTTTCCTTAGATCAACGGAGGCAAGACAACCCAACCCAACACACTCATTATTATTCTAGTAAAATTCCCTGCCCCAAAAGATTAAAAATAGTCCCAACCATTTCACAGTACCTACCGATGCTCTGCTTCAAGTGAGCTTGAAAGGACATCATTCTGAGGAAACGTTGAAGATCGGATGATCTGCTGAGATATCACTGCAGATTTTCTATTCTCTTGAGGAATTTCGTTTTCAAAATTACGGTTGATATCCCTCTCTGAGTGACCACTGCTACTATTGTGTAAATTAAATTCATCATCATCATCCTGTGAAAGAAGTCACATAGTTGACTAAGTGCCAAAACAGATTTATTCAGTTATTTATATACACACAAATAAAAGTAAAGATTATGTATTAGATATTGTATTATTGTAAGCACTTCCCTGCATGTATGTTTGTATGTGCTGTTTGTCTGTCATATAATAAAAAATTAGACAACAACAACAAATAAGGCAACAAATACATACAGTATAACATGTTCCACTAGATATGAACTATGAATGGTTCCTGCTGGATCAGACCAAACCTCCCCAGCACCCTCCCTCACCGGGAGCCCATCAAACACCTATAAGAAACTCAGAAGTAAGCCATGAATGGAGAAGTCCTCTCCTGCTATTGTTCTTTAGTAACTGGGGTTCAGAGACATTAATACTTCAGAAACTGGAAATACAGGTATAGCCATCAGGACTAAAAAATAAAATTATCTCTGAATGTAAAGTCCAAAGTATTTCTACTAATCGTGTGGTGTTAAGGAGTGGCTTAAAATTCAACTGTTTAAATGCACTGATGACAGCTACAATCTAGTAATAAAAGTGAAGCAAATATGCTGCATTGTATAAATAAGCAGTTACCAATACAATTTTCCTTGTGTTCAATTGCTTAAGCTGTGAGGGACACATAATAATCCTATCAGCAACCATGCCACTTTGATTTTCTTTGACTGAGAAGTGAAACAGACATATACTAATAATAAAACTGAAACCTAAATGCCCTATTGAACAAATTGTGCAGCACCTTTTCTTGCCCAACACAATTCTCATCGTGTTCCTCTTCCACACGATCACGTTTCAGTGTCTTCAGGAATTCACTCTTCTTATCAGAGCGCATTCGAGTCAATTTGGTTAAGCGGGGCTGGCCAAGTTTATCAACAGGGGATGAAGAATTTGACCGATTACACTAAAAGGAAAAAGGAAATATATAATAATGCGAATAAGAAAAACTTTTAATTCTTCAAATGCGACATTTAATTTTTTTCAAATACAAGTGCAGAGACAAAACATGCCCAAACTGGAGATATCCTAAGCAGAAAGGAAAGGGGAAGGGAGGGGAGAGAGAGAGGGGGGAGACAGAGAGAGAGGGGAGTGAGAGAGAGAGAGAGAGAGAGAGAGGAAAAAAAGAGAAAAGAATTACACAATCAGCAATACCTCTTTCACTGAATTCTGTGATCCCACAGTCTTGGCAGTAGATTTGAAAGTACTAAAATTTCCAATACCATATGTAGAATCATGAGGAAATGAAGAACCAAGTTTTTCTCTTGTCTGACATTTCCATTGTGAAGTCTACAGAAATCAAAATAGTATAGCATAATTTTACATGATTAGTGAAACGAATTATTCTTTTTAAAAACTCTGAAAGCTCTTTATAGTGCAGTCCATATACTATAATTTGAAAATATCTCTGCCCAGTTTATAAGTGGAGAAAGGGGGACAAAAAGAGAAAATAACAAGAGACAGTAATAATAGGATTTTCTGGACTACAGATTCACTCTCACTCACTCACTCATACCCCACCTTTCTCCTTATAAAGGTCCCAAGGCAGCTTACAGCAATTTGAAGACAGTATTTAAACTAACAATAGTGAATATAAAATACTAAAAGGATCAAATGAATACATTACTAAAAAAACATAAGCAACACCAAAACACATTCAAAGTAGTAAGGTAGATCAATCCATTTAAAAACCCCACTCAGGTAGCCAGTCACTCAAGAAAAGTTTGCCTTAATAGAAAGGTCTTCACCTGCTTGTGGAAGGACAGGAAAGACTGGGTCAGCTGAGCCTCCTGTGGGAGGGAGTTCACCATTCTGCATTCTACCTTCCCTGCAGGCACCTTACAAACAACTCAATGTGATAACACCTGAGAGAAAGACCTAAACTAGAGTGCTCTGATGCTTAGTGAAGCCAAGCTCCCTGTTCCTGCCCCAGTGCTAGCTGGAAGCTTTCTTTCTAAGACAGGGCTTGAGCAAAGCTTGACCTAGCTAAGTCTCAAAGTCTAATGTAGGCCTTTCTTTCAGGTGCATCACACTGAGGTATCTGTAAGGTGCCTGAAAGAGAGGCAGAACACCCTCCCAAAGGAGGCTCGGCTGGCCCAGTCTTTCCTGTCCTTCCGCAAGCAGGTGCAGACCTTTCTATTCAGGCAAACTTTTCTTGAGTGACTGGCTGCCTGAGTGGGGTTTTTTAATGGACTGTTGTACCTTACTACATGGAATGTGTTTTGGTGTTGCTTTTGTTTTTTAGTAATGTATTCATTTGATCCTTTTAGAAAATCCAGAAATCCCATCCCTACCAAGTAACAAGAAGTAACTGGGGAAGGAGGAGACAAGGAAAAAACACAAAATTCTTTCTCTGCAAGCAAATGATTTTCAGATTTACCTTCACAGGTGGAATGACAGGTTTTGGAACAAAACCTTTATAGACGCTTGTACCAGTTCCATTTTTGACTGACTGTGAATGAACGTTTCCTCCCACAGGGAATCCAGATATCTGTAAATCTTTTGTACTGCCTTTTTTAATAACCAACATTCGTGGAGATCTAGATTTAGGATTCAGAGGATATTCTGTAAGAAAAGAAAGTCATTTCATCTCAGATTGTATGGTTATATGTCATCAGGAGTAAAACATTTGAGGATTAAATAATATAGTTCTCCTTATACTTTGAATATCTGACCAAAGCATGTGTAGTACTGTTTGTACTGCCTACAATGGAACTGGAGTCATATCAGATCCCATGAGAACATTTAACCTAGTCTGGTTCTGACAGATATGAACACAGAGCATGTCCCCACATCTAAAGCCTCAGGATGCCAAGTTCATGAAACCAATTTAGTCCAGAAGAATTAAATTATGCTATTTCCAGTGCTAACACACAAGTCTGATTATTATTCTCATTTATATATTTAAAAAAATATATTCATAAAATAAAATATAATAAGGCAGGGGTCCAATGCTCTTACCCCAAACACCTGCAGCTAATGATTTATTCTGGTTTGGTTCTCTCTCGTATTCAGGGTTCAAGGATGGCTAAAAAGAGACAAACACACATACGTAGCTTAATTACTTTAGGATCTATCAGCCAATGTCTAGTGAGTATATCTAAAGCCGCAGCCCATAAAAATATACTAAGAGAAATCAGAGTGACTGAGAGCCAGCTGAAGTTTTTAGCAGCAGGTGACCAGAAATAAAACAAAAATGAGATGGCTTCTTCACACCTTCTTGCATGTCAATTTGCTCTGGTTATGATGTTTCTTGTGGTGTTTTGCCACTGGCAGCTAAAACAACATTTGAGAAATTCATAAAAGTATACAGTAAATGAATATTTTCATGTTCTATTCCAAGTACTGTACAGTATTCAAACAGTTTTCTGTTTTAGACCTCAAGGTGGAGAAAAAGACTGCTCAGTAACTCACCACAATCAATTGGCAGCACTTCAGATAAAGCCTCTCATATTCATTCCAATTTAAATTTTGCAGTTACAACAGATGCACCTTGGTCCAGTGATGCTGAATACAATTTCTGCAGCCTGATGATGTTGACAGAAGTCTACGATATGCCCTCAACTCTTTGCCATTCTGGTTAGTAAGAGCTCAAAGAGGAGGATTGGCCACCAAGTGAGTAGTGGAACTGGTGAATGGCTCCTTGTGAAAAGATGTGGTCCTAGCAATTTTTAAATGCCTTTTTTTAAAAAAAAAGCTCTTATTTCTTTTGAACAATTTCCAGCCAATTTAAAGATTCTATTTTTAGATAAATTACTGAAGCACACAGTAGCCCCTACTCAAAGTTTTCCTGAATTAGACAAATTACTGTATTTGGATCTATTTCAATGTATATTGGGATAGAAATCACTTTAGTGGATAACTTTCATCAAGAATACAAAAGGAAATGTGCATCCTTCTATGCCACAGCAGTTTCCAATAATTTCAATGGTACTGTTCTAGACTGACTTACTATGAAGAGACTCAATGGTACACTGGCTCTGGTGCTCCCTGGGAGGATGGTTCTAGCTGGTGGTGCCTAGGACTTCTGATCAACAGAGACTTTTGGCATATGGGGTCCATAGTGCTGCATTTTGTTCCTTGTAATTAAGCACAGTGATAACTGCATAATATGGCCCAGTATGGTGCTGATTCATTATACCATGCATATTCGGGATTTTGTGTTGCTCAGTGGGGACCTGGTCTAGGGAAACCAGGCCTCCAGGAAACTAGTTGCCCAGTTTATATGTTCCACACCACAGGTCAGCTGGGCCTGTAGGAGACCTGGGGCTGGTCTGCCTACTCCACATCAAAGGTGTACTGGGCCTCTGGAACTCCTGGCATAAAACATAGTGTAAAAATGGCCTTTTTCGGCATTAATTCAGTTCATAGTCCCCTTTTTTGAGTGCATCGTATATTACTGTACGTACTGAGGGAGATCATGTAGCAATCTGGAGTTCAAGGTAATCAATATACACATAATACCCAACTCTGTACCTTCCACCTCATTCCAGCAAATGGGCTGGATGTGGCCACATGAATGGATGTCCTTCAAGTTGGTAGTAGCAACAAGTACTCTCTTTGAAAATATAGGTTGGTAGTAGAAGCAGAAAGTCTGCAGAAGTCAGTTTTAATTTTGAATACTCTTCAGCTATTGCCAAGAGCTACTATATCCAGTTTAAAGCTGGTGTACCAACTACACCCCTGGGTACCACAGGTTTGGCCAGAGTAAAAAATGTATCAACCCTACAGACCACAAAGAACCATCTGATTCTATGTGGAACAGCTACACTAGGGTCTAACAAATCAAAAAGGATGAGGATCCTTATAGCCCATTATGTCACTGTTACAGCACAGGACAAACCATGCACCTCATTCCCTCAAGACACTTTATTTTAGTGGTATATTTTGTTGCAGAACCCATGCAGAATAATATTTATGAGGTAGGCAATCTACAACATTTGTCACCTGAAGAAATGTAAACAATGTCCATGAGATTCAACAGACTTTTTATAAAGAAAAAAAATTGTTCAGAAAAAAATGTCAAAGAAAATGTACTGGATTTTGCTACTTGGATACTACTGTATTCTAGCCTATGTAATCTTAGTGGGACAAAATGTGCCTCAAGCCATTTTTCAACCAGCCATGAAGCTGAGAAGCTGAAGTAACATACTCTAGTTGTCAGTACGCTAGCACTCTTTGGTGGGGGTTGGTAGAATTCTCAGTGAGTCAAGGCTATGTAAGACATAAATTTATGTTAACCCCCTCCTTACAGCTAACTGTAATTGTCCTAAAATTTCCATTAGTCAGAAATATCTAATAAATACATTTTTTTCTTTTTGCATTAACCCTGAATGGTGATTAACTTAAATTGTTAACACAGCCAGAATATAATGTCTCTATGTTCTTAGTTGCCTTGGCCTTGCTGAGAAAAGATGAGATGACCACATTTTAAATAATTAAATAAATACTCTGGAAATGAAGCAGCATTCATTTGAATCCAAAAAAAAAATACTTTGAACATCTATAGAGAAAAACCCTCATGTTCCAACACTGATTTCCAAACATTATTATTTATACAGTGGTGCCTCGCTAGACTATGATAATCCGTTCCACTGAAATCGCTGTTTAGCGAAATCATTGTTTAGCGAAAAGCATGTCACAATTGGAATGCATTGAAACCTGCTTAATGCATTCTAATGGGGAAGAATCGTCGTTGTCTAGCGAAGATCGGCCATCCGCTTTGTGAACCGCCAATCAGCTGTTTAAATCACTGTCTTGCGAAGCTTAGGTCCCGAAAACACCTGTTTGTGAGCACAGAGGGAGCTGTCAAAATCATTGTCTGGCAAAAATCGGTTTGCGAAGCAGGGACCAAACATTGTCCAGCGAAATTCCCCCATAGGAATCACTGTTTTGCAAATCGCTATAGCGATCGCAAAAAGCCAATGCCTAGCGAAAAAACTGTCATGCGGGGTAACTGTCTAGCGAGGCACCACTGTATTACAGTACCATCTCACTACAAAAGAATGAAATATCAAAAAATGAATGCCTCCTTACAAAGAGCAGAGTTCAGTAGTCTTTTTAAAACCAAACATGTAATCAAAATATGTAAATAGTTCCGTCTTGCAGATGCTTGAAGGCATTACGATTTACTTACAAAATCTTCAGCTTCAAATTGTTTGGGTTCTTCTTTTTCTTTCTTTTTCAAACTCCCACATTCAGATGTGTTGCTTTCATGCAACCCCTGGCTTTTTCCTGACTGAAAGCTGCTGGTGCGAGCACGTGAACCTGCACTATGGTATGCCCCTCTGTGATTTGTGTTTTCCGTGCCATTTCTGCCTTGAGAACGCCAACCATTTCTTTCTTTTCTTCCAAAATGCCCTTAAATTTTAAAAGGTTAAATATAAAGTTAAAAGCAGTTCTGAATTGATTTAAGTTTGAAAGACTATGGCAGGGGCATCAATGTACTGAACTTTTTATCTATGCACAAGTACTACTGAAAAATGTCTCTTATCCAAACATGGAAGACTAACCCGTTTGAACTGCGGGTTAAACTGCAGAAGCCTCTGTGCTGCAAGGTCAGAAGACCAGAAGTCATAATATCAAATCCACACAACAGAATGAGTTTCCGTCACTTGTCCCAGCTCCTGCCAACCTAGCAGTTCGAAAGCATGTAAATGCAAGTAGATAAATAGGTACCGCCATGGTGGGAAGGTAACAGCGTTCCGTGTCTAATTGTGCTGGCCATGTGACCACAGAAACTGTCTACGGACAAACGCTAGCTCTCTGGCTTGGAGATGGGGATGAGTACCACGCCCTAAAGTCGGACATGACTGGACTAAATGTCAAGGGGAACCTTTACCTTAGTAGTAATGCGTACAGTCATGTGAAAATGAAACTACACCCCTATGGTTTTATGTATCAGGATATAATGAAAATCATCTGGTCCTTAGGAGGTCTGAAAATTAGGTAACTACAACCCCAGATGAACAGCAATACACAACATCTTACACTGTGTCATAATTTTACAAAAATAAAGCCAAAAGAGAGAAGCTATGTGTGAAAAACTAAGTACACCCTTATTATTTCCATAGGAATTAAGAGGTTAACTAGCAGCTAGGTATTGTTAACAAAATGTGTTTGAGTAGTTGATCATCATTAGGTGTGACCACCTCTACAAAAGCTGAAGTTTTAGCAGTTTGCTGGTCTGGAGCATTCAGATGTGTGTTAACACAATGCCAAGAAGGAAATACGTCATCAATGATCACTGAGAAGCAACTGTTGTTGCTCATCAATCTGGGAAGAGTTATAAGGCTATTTCCATTCAAATTTAATTATTCTAAAGTGATGATTATTCACCAGTGGAAAATATTCAAGACAGCTGCCAATCCAGTGGACATCTAAGCAAATTTACCCCAGGGCCAGATGTTACAAGCCTCAGTTAGCATGTAAAATGTTAAAGTTCACAACAGTACACTAAAAAAAGGACTGAACAGGTGTGGTTTGTTTGGGTTTCCACAAGAAAGCCTCTTCTCTCTAAAAAGAACACGGCAGCATGACTTGGGCTTGTAAAGTTGCATCTGGACAAACCACTAGACTTCTGGAACAACAGCCGTTGGACAGATGAGACCAAAGTGGAGATGTTTGGCCATAATGCACAGCACATTTGGTGAAAACCAATCACAGCATATCAGCACAAACATCCCATACCAACTGTCAAGCATGATGGTGAAGGGGTGATGATTTGAGTTGGTTTTGCAACCACAGGACATAGGCACCTTGCAGTCACTGAGTCAACCATGAACTCCTCTGTATACCAAAGTATTCTAGAGTCAAGTGTGAGGCCATCTGTCCAACAGCTAAAGCTTGGCCAGAATTGGATTATGCAAAAGGACAATGATCCCAAGCACACCAGAATGGCCAGAAAAGAATCAAGGTGTTGCAATGGCCCAGGCAAGGTCCAGACCTCAGCCCAATCGCAATGTTGTGGTGTATTTAATAAAGTGTACTTAAGTTTTTCACACACAGCTTCTCCCTTTTGGCGTTATTCTTGTAAAATAAATCATGACACAGTGTAAGATGTCAAATGTTGTTGTTCATCTGAGGCTATATTTTGCTTAATTTTCTGACCTGATACGTATGTCTTGATATGCAAAATCATAGAATTCAAACAAGATATATTTTCCTTTTCATAGTTCGTGGGACTAGAATTAAGACATGAGATGGCAGGTTGCATTACAGAGTAAAAGCCTCTAAAATCAGCTATTAAGTCTGAGTATTTGGGGATATACCACGCTAATTCTAAAAAAACACAACAAACTACTTTGACTTTTGATGTATTTTGATTTTACTTTACACCACCAAGAGAATATATTTGATCGGGTGTTTAATACAGTTAATAAGTAAAAATGGTTTCAAGAGGAAACAGCTACAAGAACTGTAATAATTTGTTGCATAAAATGTACTTTTCCAACATATTTCATTGTTTACAGCATAGGAACAAGAAAAACCATATGTTAATTTTTCTTCAATGAACATTTCTGTCACGCTGTACAGAAAAGATCTGCACTGTTTATTCAATACAACCATCTCATGAATTAAGCCATGGGCAGTTAGCATTCAGAATATTTACATAATAAAGAGTTGCAGTTCAAAAGTGTCTAGACTCTCAAAGCATACATAACATATGGGCCAACACCTTACATTAAGAAAACACATACATACCTCCATTTGAACGCCCACTACAAGGATCGAAACCATCAGAAGAGTTGTGCCGCCTGCGGTTAATTTCATAACGATTATCTGTCCATGAAAAGTTCTCAGAATGTTTCTCAAAATTCAGTGATGTCTAAACATAAACACAAACATTAAATGAAAACAACAACTAACAACTTATATGCATCATAGAATAATGGAATTAGAAGAAGTCTATTAGGACACTGAGTCGAGCCCCCCGGTCAATACAAGAATCCAAATCAAAGTATATCTAACTGATGGTTGTCTACTTTTCTCTTGAACATTTTCAGCACAGGAATGCTAACTGCCTCCTGAGGCATTTAGTTCCACTGCTGTACTGCTCAGTTAGGAAGTTTTTCTTGATATTCAACTGGAATTCAACTGGCTTCTTGTAACTTGAGACTATTATTAAGTATTCTGCACTCTGGGATGATCAAGAACAGATCCTGCCCCTCCTCTGTATTTGAAAAGTGTTATCATATCTCCCCTCAGTCTTCCTTTCTCAAGGCTAAATATGTCCAGTTCTTTCAGGCTTTCCTCACAGGGCTTGGTTTCCAATCCGGAGTATCTTTGCTGCCCTCCTTGGAACTTATTCCAGTTTGTAAGCATCCTTCTTAAAGTATGATGTCCAGAAATGGACACAGTGCTCAATGTGAGGCATAATCAGTGTTGAATAGAGGGTGAACTAGTACTTCACAGAATTTGGAGACTAGACATCTATTAATGCATCCTAAAATAGCATTTGCCTTTTTTGCAGCCACATCATACTGTTGTCTCATATTCAGCTTGTAACCTACATTGCAAAATCCTCCTTGCTTGTAGTACAGTGGTGCCTCAACTTACGACAGTCCCTACTTATGACCATTTCGAGTTACGACCAGCTCCGGCCATAAAATTTTGCTTCCACTTACGGCCAGAGCTTCGAGTTACAACCAGGAAAAGACAGGGGGAACGGTGGTGAACTCAAACTGTTGGTGGTGAAGAGGCTGCTTCTTTGTAGCTCTTTTGCCCCAACGGTTAGGGAAAGGGATGCAGTGGCAGGGGGAGGCGGTGGCCCCTGATCTCAGCTCCTGGAGGAAGGGTCCTCCCACGCTGCCTCCTTCCTGGTGGGGAAGTGCCGTGAGAGGCTCTGCCAAGCCCGGCCAGGAGGACCCTTCCTCCAGGAGGCAGGATCAGGGGGCCCTCCGCCCCCAAGACTGGAACCCAGCAGCAATGGCTGCATCAGCCCCATGGAGGGCGGCGAGGAGTGCCGAGGCCCGACACGGCCACTTCGGCAAGCAGCCTCTTTGCCACCAATGGTTTACATTTGCCACCTTTTCCCCCTGCCTTTTCTCGCCACCCTCTGCGGGCTGCTGCTGCTGCCTGACAACATCTTCCGCTCCAGAACTGGCACCTGCTTGCCAGGGACCCATCGGCAGCGGCCTGCAGAGGGTGGCGAAGAGTGCGGAGGAGCAACGCGGCCGCCCTGGTGAGCAACCACCGGTGCCAGTGCTGGAGCTGGCATCGGGCACCAGCAGCAGCAGTGGCATTGGCCCACAAAGGCCATCAGAGGCAGCTTGAGACTGCCTGGTAAGGTAAGGTGCCGTTTTTTTGGTTTTTAAAAACTGTTCTGGGTGGGTTTTGCAGGGCTAGGGGGGTGTATGTCGCTGTGGTGTGTTGTTTGTTTTTTGGTGATTTTTTTTGGAGTCACAGCGTGGAGCGTGCTCTGTTTATTTTTATTTTATTGGGGGGAGGTATTTTTTAGTTCCTCTTGGCTGTGTCATTTCTTCCTACACAGGAAGGGATGTGCATCTGTGAGCTTTATGAGCAAGAGTGATCCTTCTATCACATTCCTAATCTGTCCTCCAGGAAGACAGAATACCTGGTGGGTCCATGCATCTTTCTGGTATATTTCAGTTTCAATCCCATACAGTAGTGAGTCTCCTGCTACAACTACTTTTCTTATTTTTGTAGTGTGTGGGTTCCATTACTGTTTTGCTGTGCTTCAGCCTCACCACTGTCCTTCCACAGGGTCTCCTGTATGTTTTCCTCTGCATGTTGTCTGCCAGACTCCTCTTCAATAATCTGAAAGCAATTTTGCAGTTCCACTGGGGAAGTGTGTCTTCTCCTTCCTTTGCTTCTAACTGTGACTCTTTCCCACGGCACTTTCTCCACTATGTTTGTTTTTTCCTCAGCATTCTCCTCCTCATGCTCTTCTTCTACCTTCAGTGCCTCTCTATGGCTGCTTCTTCTTGAGAGTTATTTCTATGTACTCTTCATCTTCCCTTATAGCCTTAAGGATGGCTGTTCCAGTTCTTTCACTTTTTCTTCCAACAGTGCTACCACTTGGCTCTTGCTGCATGTGTTCTCAGGGACAAGAAACACTACACACACTTTGCTCAGGCCCTCACCCTCCTAACATTTAGAAGACAGATAAAGACACTGCTTTTCAGACAGGCTTTTGAGAACCTTCTCCCTCTTTTATTTTATTTATTTGATTTGATTTAGCTTGACTGTTTATCTGTGTAATTTATGTAATTTGTATAACTGCTGTTGCCATCTTGGTTTTTTATACGCATAGTAGTTTAGGTAGGTTGTAGGGGTAGGTTTGTCTTTCTGTTGTTAATTTTGTTGTTGCTGTAAGCTGCATAGAGTAGTGGCTTGCCACCAGATGGGCAGGGAAGAAAATGAGTGAATTTGCATGTTGCCACCACTGAAGTGCCTATTTCCTCCATAATCTGTTACTTTTTAATTTTCTTCTTTTTGTCTATCAGTGCCCTTTCTTTTGTCTTGTCTGCCTTGATGGGTGCTGAGAAAATTCACTATAACTGGAAATCAAAAATTCTGTTACAGGCCTTCCCTGCCGAACTCCTGTCAGCAATGCCTGTTTGCTTGCTCCCTGGGGTCTATCACAATTTACATGAAGAACATATATTGGAATGATTATGATAACAAGGGCTAATGTTCTGGAGTGGTACATTCCCCATGATTGAACTAAAGTCATTCAAAACACTATCCTAAATATGTGTCTCTAGAATTAAATCTCACTCTAAATGAGATTTGTTACTGTGTAAATGTGCACAGGACTGCAATCTAAATTGTCATATGAATTCAACAGTATTGGCAGCACTCATTCTACAGGAGTATTGACTCTCAAGAGAAGGAGCTGCCACAGAGGTAAATGGACAGTACTTCTAAACTGGCCAGAGTGTTACTAGATAGGCACAAACAGACTACCTTCCCTGCAAAAATCCTCTACATCAAAGTGCAGCTGCAGTTGCAAAATAACTTCAGAGAAAATACATAAAATTAAGCAGCAAGAAACAGTTTCACAGCAAAACAAGAGGAAAATAAAACCATTCCAGGTTAAAAGACTAGTGCACCAAAGTCGTAACCAAAGTATTATCAGAATGTTGTAAGATAAACACCAGACTAATACCTTATCCTGTTATCAACATCAACAACACTTTTCACATTGGTACACAACAGCCTTCCATCTCTTGAATCCTTTAATATATATATATAACCTAGATCTAAAGCATAAAAGGACTCAAAAGCATGGAACAGCACTCCTAATTGAGCTCAATCCTGTAACTACTGCAGAGTAAACAGCAGTCAGATCACACTGTAATGGCACTGTTCTTTGCAATTAGCATACAGAGACTAGTGTGCACACTCTGTAGCCAAGAATATCCCTATTCATAACACTGAGTCACTTACAGCTGTTCTTGTACTTTCATGTTCATTCACCTTTTTTTTAGGTATATACTGCATATTTGCTCCAGTAAGTGGGAAGCTCGCTAGTGTTTAGATGCAATGCTGTTTCTCTATGTAATGATACAGTTCTTATCTTCAGCACATGGTGGAGCTACAGCTCTACTAAACTTGATGAGGTAATCAAATTTGAATGGTTAAAACTTTCACTGATGTATGGCCTTTCAAGCAACTATTGATTCTTATGCTGATGTAAGATGAAAAGCTTCATCTCCTATAACTGAAGCAAGCAATTATCCTACTGACAGAATCAGGACACCATTTTTACACTCAGAACTTTTTGTCCTCAAAACATTAGTGTTTATTACTATGAGTGGACTCTGAGTGTCTGCCTTTGGAAAAATCAGTTTCTACCTTCAAAAAATTATAAATAGTGTGTGGTAAAGCCACTGTACAGGATACCTGCTTCATGCTATATTTCTAGCTTGCTTCTCCCATCTTCATATGACAGCTTTACAAATGTTTAAGAGACAAAATTGTTGGAAAATACATGTGCCTGTTACAAATATTCATACCGAACATGTTTACTTCGAAGTGATGATACAAAAAAAAAAGAACAAACCCTCTTATAGAAGATGTTTTACAGATAGAATGGCAAAAATGCATGGCCACTATATGTATAGTAGGTTAAGAATTTAGAATACAATTAAAATCAAGGTAACTGACGTCAAAGTAAAGTGAGTAGAAAGAAATATTAACAAAGGGAAAGTATGTCATTTCAAAGTTCATATATTTCAAGAAAACATTGCTACAAACAATTAAAACACAATTCTAACTGACTTATGATACTTATATTTTGCCACTGGTTTTAATGTTTTTATTGGACAGCTTAGCACTTAACAGAAATAAGCATAAGGGAGTGCCACTTATGCTGCAAGAAAGGAGTAGGAAGACTATACTGTACTCGATATTTCTCATCTCCTCTGCAATCCCCTGTACCTCCTGAAAACCAGACGGCTGGAGTACCCTGCAAAAGAACATGTGCAGTGACACATGTTTATGCAGGAGGAAACAGACAAGCACCCCTTCCATGCCCTCGCCCCTGGTGCAATTCTGGTGCTTTTTGTGTACAGAAAAGTCAATCTCTGGGACCCAACACAGTTTTTAAAACATGGGATTTCACTGTCTTAAATACTATTTGACAACGAATACAGCAAGATGAGTAACTGTGGCAGGCAGACAGCAATCTCCTGCCCCTCTCATCACCAAAACGGAAAAAAAATTAAAACAGATACTCCTTGACATCCATTTGCCATTTTCAAAAATTAGTATTCAGGGTGTTAAATGGTGTAAGGGGACAAATGACTTCTGATTACCTAATCCATTGAAGAATCCTGTAAAAATGCAAGGAAATTGTGCATGATCACTAACTTCATGATAAAGATTATCAGGCACAAGACTAACATAACTATCTCTTCTAAAGATAAAGACTAGAATTCTGTTCATATTTACTTGGAAGTAAATCTCAAATATAAATAGAATTCTGATGCCAAAATGTCCTGTGTTATGCATATAATCAGGTTGCAAAAATATTCAATATTTCTGAAAGTGAGGGATTCTGTCTACTGCTCAAAACTATATTCCACTGAAAAAATGTTCATGATACTTGATTTGATAGAATAATGAATACTCTATTTCAGAACAAAGCTATTGCACAGTTTAAGTATCTGGAACACATGAATCGAACACTACATCCATAGGAAAGGTAAATAGTAGGTTTCTTTATTGTGACTGCTAGTACCACCAGAAATTTGGAAGCAGTAAGGTTATGTACCCCCCCCCCGAAGCTGTTTATTTTGACTGATCTTTTACCCAGATAAGATTTCATGGATTTTGTGGTCTTCAAAAGCCTACTACTGTAATTGCTAATCCAAAACCCACAACAATACAAGGCTCACCAACTTCATCCTCACTGCCAGTTTGAGAATATGCGCCTTGGTCATTCGTTTCCTTACAAGTTCTTTAGCTAAATGAGGATTTGACTGAAAAAGGTCCTCGCCCTCCACCTCTGCAATTAATAATAGCTAACAGTCCTGCTTGGAAATATCTGGAATTACAAGAAATTGCCAGTGGAAGCCTTGCTATGGTGCTTACTATTAAAGAGCTTAGGGAATGACTAACCTCACTCCTCCCTTGGTAACAATACCATAATGTAATTTGCCAATTAAAGAAGTGTTAATTGTAACTGGACTTTTTAAAAATCCTATTTAACAACAAAAAACATCCCAAAATACAGTGGTGCATTCACTTATGGCCATAATCCATTCCAGAAGATAGATGTAACTCAAAATTGTCAGAAGTTGAAGTACCATTTCCCATAGGAATGCATTAAAATTAATGCCTGTATAATTAAAATTGTAAACCGCCCGGAGAGTGCTTGTAGCGCTATGGGGCGGTATATAAACAAAAAAAAATCATGACTGCAAGACTCATTGGAAATGCAATTAATCCCTTCCCTTCCGGCCGGGGGTGGGGAGAAAAGCAATCAAGCGTGCAAGACCCATTGGAAATGTACAGAAAACGGAACAGATCGGAAATGCACAGAAAACAAAGGGGGCATGTTGGAAATGCAAAGAAAACAAAGGAAAAAGGGAAGCATGCAGCACCGATTTGAAATAGGGAAACTCCCGAAAAAGCAACCAAACCCCCCAAGATCCATCAGAAATGGGGAAACCCAAGAAAAGCATCCAATGCCCCCCAAGACCCATCGGAAATGGGGGGAACCAATTAACAAACAACCCCCCCAAGACTCATCACAGCACAGAAACATGACCTCCAGCTCAAAACCACGCTGCAAAAACACCCAGAAGAGTTTTTAAAAAGCAGAAAACAGCACCTTATCTTACAAGGCAGCCCAAAGCCTCCCTGCAAACACAAACACACGCTCTCAAAAGCAGGAGGAGGCAGTCCCAAGCCTCCTATGACAATGCACACTCTCTAACTGCTGGACGAAAGAGCTACAAAGAAGTAGCCTCGTCGCCACCTACAGTTAGCAATTTGAGTTCCCCGCCTTTTTCCCTACCTTTTTCTGTTTTTAAGTGGAAGCTCTGGTCGCAAGTAAAAGAAAAATTTTGCAGCCAGAGCGGGTCATAACTCGAAATGGTCGTAAGCAAGGACATTCGTAAGTCGAGGCACCACTGTACGTGGCATATAGTAAATTAAGCAGCTTATAGTATTAATAAACAAATACACAAACTGTGCTAATGTTTAAAGCTATTGACAAGTCATTCTGATATTAACAATTTAATAAGTAGTACACACCTTTGTCGATGATGGTGGAGTAGGAAAATTAAGCCAGGCTGGAGCAAAGTCATGCTGCGCCATTTAGGTCCAGTCTCTCCAAACCAGCTAAACAAGGCTTCAGCATCTCATGGCAAAGGGCTGTGAAGGAAGTACAGTGTAGGGTTGTGTAAAATAAATATTTCTACAGTATATCACTTTCCAACGCCAAAGCAATTTACAAGTGAAAACAAACTAAAATAAGATGCCACAATCACTGCCAAAGCACAAATGTGCCTGTTCTCTACCAAATGCACTTGGAAACCTATACTAAAAATGAGATATCTAAAAAACAGCCTTGTTCCCTGGTAAAATGCACACACTGGAAGCTGGCAAAGATGTTTCAAAACAGCATAATTTTAGTGTTTAACTTACAGCAGTGCCATTTTAAAAGGCTCACACTTCTTGACATGACAGCAAAAAAACAAACAAACAAACAAACAAACAAACAAACCCAGAAAACCTACAAATGAAAACCACTTGCTAAGTTACTTTTGCAGCTCCTAGGCAGAGGCTTCAGTTCAGAGCCCACCAAGAACTGACAGGCACTTTAGTTTTTTTGCTTCTCTCTTCAACTGTCAGTGGCCATGAAATAAAGAGGCCATATAAAGTATAGTGGTGCCTTGACTTACGGAATTAATCTGTACTGGAAGGGTGGCCGTACCTCGAAATTTTCGTAAGTCAAAGCACCATTTCCCATAGGAATGCATTGAAAAGTGATTAAGCCATTCTGGCAGAAGAAAAATCACTCCCCCCAAAAAATGACCACCGCCACCAGGGAAGCCCAGGCTTACCTGCCGCCGCTGGGGAAGCTCAGGCTTTCCTGCTGCCCTGACAGCCACTGTGGGAGGCCTCCCAGGGACTGCTCCTGCCGGGGAAACCCAGGCTTCCCTGCTGCCCTGACCGGGCTCCCAAAGCTTCCCAGGCTTCCAAAGCCGCCCTGACCGCCGTGCCAGGGGCCGGCTTCCTGGGCTTCCAAAGCCATCCCCGCGGCCCTCTGCCTCCCATCCCCGCTGCCTCCACCGCTGCAGGAGGTAGTGGGGACAGGAGGCAGAGTGCAGCCAGGACGGAAGGCAGAGGACAGCAGGGATGGTTTTGGAAGCCTGGGAAACTGGGCTTCCAAAGTCATCCCCACTGCCCTCTGCCTCCCATCCCTGCTGCCTCATAGCGGGGACGGGAGGCAGAGGGAAGCAGGGGCGGCTTTGAATTTCCCACCATTTCCCTCTGCCTTTTGTAGGTCGAAGCTCCGGCCACAAGTAGAAGCAAAATTTTGCGGCCAAAGCTTTTTGTACCTCGAAATTTTCGCAACTAGGGACATTCGTAAGTCGAGGCACCACTGTATTAAGATATGAGTGAAATAAGCAATCCTTTGTTTCTTTTCTCAGAAGTAAACCCCACTATATTCAACAGGACTTACTCCAAGTCAACATGCAGAGGATCAGAACATGCAAATGACAGAATTAAACAGATGAGGTCTATTCACAATAATTGTGAGAAGTAGATGAAAATTCTTAGTGCTACAAGCCTGATCTTAGAAAAGACACATCAAAGATGCACCTATGCAAGCTATTCTGGTCTAAGTATCTCTAAACCTCTTGTCTGTATTCAGTATGTGAAAAAAAATCTTGAAAGCACACTAGAAAAGGCACTGTATTTTCTAACACATATTTCATATATGTTTGCAAAGCCCATTTTGAGTCACCTGCAAGGTAACAAAATACTTCTGTAAGGGCATAAACTCTCTTCACTCACTATAGGATTAATAAAAACACAAACCAAAACCTGCTACAGGTTCTTGTATATTCCATCTAGGTTAAGTAGAGACCTGCAGAATAAAACTGGGGGGGGGGGGCTGTTTTGTTAGCCTTCTCTTTTCAAACCAAAAGTCCACCAATTTCGTTGTCCCAAAATCTAGCCAGACTTGGCCTTAACAGCCAAAACCATTACCTGACACAACCTCAATTCAAAGAATGACGTTATATCCAAGCTATCTGTAAATACAATCCAACTGCAGAGATAACCATCTGTTCTACCTAGTTTTAAGTTCACGAGAAAGGGGCAAAGAGATGTTCACCACAGATATTAAAACTCCTGGGTTTTAGCCACAGTCATGAGATCACCTGAATTATTATGCCTAGACTGCTGTATGAGGATTCTAGTAATGTTCTAGTACGATGATTTGCAACACCTAGAACATGAATGGTGAAGTGTGAACTGGTAGGCTCTCTTTAAATCAAACTTATAAAAACAACAATGGAGAAAGACTATGTTCAATGGTTATACTAATAATATTTGTAATTCATGTAGGCATCCTTCAGTCTTGAGAGACTATGGTAACGTGCTCTGTATGGAGGACTTGGAACAGCATCTAGTGTGGCTGAGGCCAATTCAAGAGTGACAATCCCTTCCACACTGAAGACAAATACAATCTGTCCCCTGTCCAGCTCCCTGATTTTGCTGGTTTCGGGACTGCCTCTTTGCCTCGGCCTGCTGGATAAGGGTCTCTTCAAATTGGGAGAGGCCGTGATGCACCGCCTGCCTCCAGGCTGAACGCTCAGATGTCAACGTTTCCCATCTGTTGAGGTCCATTCCTAAGGCCTTCACATCCCGCTTGCAGATATCCTTGTATCGCAACTGTGGTCTCCCTCTGGGGCGATTTCCCTGCACTAATTCTCCATACAGGAGATCTTTTGGAATCTGACCATTAGCCATTCTCACAACATGCCTAAGCCAAGACAGACGTCACTGTTTCAGTAATGTATACATGCTAAAAATTCCAGCTTGTTCTAGGACTACTCTATTTGGAACTCTGTCCTGCCAGGTGATACCAAAAATGTGTCGGAGACAACGCATATGGAACGTGTTCAACTTCCTCTCCTGCCGTACACAAAGGGTCCAGAACTCACTGCAGTACAGAAATGTACTCAGGACACAGGCTCTATAGACCTGGATCTTGGTATATGCCATCAGCTTCTTATTAATCCATATTTTCTTTGTGATTCTAGAGAACATGGTAACTGCTTTGCCAATGTGTTTATCTAGCTCGACATCTAGAGAGAGGATGTCAGAGATCGTTGAGCCAAGATACACCAAATCATGAACAATCTCCAATTATTGTGTAGAGATGGTAATACAGGGAGGTAAGTCCACACCCTGGCCCATGACTTGTGTTTTCTTCAGGTTGATTGTTAGTCCAAAATCTTGGCAGGGCTTACTAGAACGATTCATAAACTGTTGGAGCTCTTCAGCAGAATGGGCAACAACAGCTGCATCATCAGCAAAGAGGAACTCCCGCATGTATTTCAGCTCGACTTTGGTCTCCACTCTCAATCTAGAGATTAAAGAGATTTCCATTTGATCTAATCCGGAGATAGACACATTCTGTTGCAGTTCCAAAAGCGTGCTTCAGCATGACAGCAAAAAAAGATCCCAAAGTTGGCGCGAGGACACAGCCATGTTTTACTCCACTTTGGATGTCAAAGGGATACGATGTTGAGCCATCAAAAACTACACTGTCCTTCATTTCTTTATTTGTAATATGTTGGCATTTTTGGTATAACATATGCATCTTCCAGAATTAAAATTCTGACTCGATTAGGATGGCTAACTATGCTCACATTCTTATTAACAAGGTTATATCACTCTGAAAAGCTTACATGTTTGAACAAGATCACTTTCAATCCCATATCAGGATGCTACAAAATTACGCTAATGGAAGTCCTGGAAACAGCATATTCTATAACAGGGGTCTCAAACTCAATTTACCTGGGGCCCACTGGAGGTAGTGTCTGGGAGAGGCTGGGCCGCATTAGATTTTCTGCCAAGCTGAGCAAGAGCCCGAGGAAGCCGCCCAGGAGTTCCTTAGCTGGGGCTACGAGGAGGAGAGGCGTGCGAGCCCTTGTCGCCGGCCACGACCCCCTCCTGCTCCTTCTTCACTACTACTAGCACCAGCAACAGCAGCAGGATGAAGAAGCAGAGAAGGGAGGGAGCGCCGGCGACCACCTAGCCGGGGCGAGGGGATGACATAAATTTTTTTTAAAACCCTCACAGAATCACCTTGCCAAAGGAGAAAAGCCCCCATCGGTACCTGCGAAATTAAACAGAATGGGGACCCCCGCAGGTGTGCGCGCATGGGCATGTACACAAAAACACACACACAGAGGTCCAGCAACCTTCCTCTGAGGGCCCCCCTCAAAAAAAGGCACACTCAGCAGCAGCAGCTACCCCCACCACAACAGGGGAGCAAACTTTGTGAGGCAAGCCCAGGCAGTCTCCAGAGCCGAGGCAGCTGAAGCAGGACAAAGAGGAGGAGGAGGAAGCACCACTGGGCGCTGAGGCGGCCACTGGCTGGGCTGGTGCTGGGGATGCCGAGAGAGAAAGAGAGACAGAGAGCTGCTTCCCTGGAAGAGGCGGCGGCCGCAGCAGCCACTGTTGGCAGCTAGGAGGCGCTCTTCGAGGACAGGCCGGGAGCGAGCTCCACTCTCAGGCATTGTTTGGCGGCAGCTCGGGGAAAAGGGCCGGCAGTGGGCCTCATTCGCCGGCTCTCCCCCAAGACAGCGTTTTTTGCACCCTCCATCCGGAACTGCAGCCTGCCAGCCGGCAGACAGGCAGACTGCAGTTCTGGATGAGGGTTCAAGAGGTGCTGTCTTGGGGGAGAGCGGGCGAGCGAGGCGAGGCTTTTTTTGACTCTTAACAGCAGAGGATGCGTAGGCGCTTCGGGGGGGCAGGCAAGGCGGGGGCCACAAACTATCATCTGGCGGGCCGCAAATGGCCCCTGGGCTGCATGTTTGAGACCCCTGTTATTTGTTAGTATCATAGGTGAAGATGTGAACTAGAGATGGGGTATTTGTAATAACAAGGGTCCACTCACGCGTCCGCCACCACCGCCAGCTCCACTCTCCCTTCCAATTGCTCTGGAGCTCCTCGTCGCCTATCCATTCCTGGCAGAAGGAGGGAAGACGATTCTCCCTGCCAGGCTGATGAGTGGATAGCTGACCAGGAGCTCTGGGGTGACTGGAAGGGAGAGAGGAGCCGCCGACATCAGCGGATCCATGACTGGACAGTCCAGTCCCAAAGGGCCGGACCCTTGTTACGTCCAGCTC